AATCTTTTTGAAAAAAATGAGCAAAAGTGGTCTATTAAATAGAAAGGTCACATCTGAAAAGAAAGGAGATTTGATGAAAATAAGAGGGGTTGGGACCGGTTAAAAACTGTCAAATAGTACTCAAGAAGACTAGAAGGGAAGGAGAAATGCAAGATAATTTACCTGTCAAACAGTCTTAGAAATAATAAAAATCAAATAATCAAATGCAATATTATTTACCTGTCAAAGCTTCTTGAGGATGGTAAAAATCAGACTCAAATAATGATAATAAAATCAAAAATCAAATAATGTGTTGAGTGAAATTAGAAAACCCTTAAGGTTAACAATAACCAAAATTTTAGGCAAAGAAAACCCATATTACTATAATAATGAGAAAAATCTGTAAGTTTGTACACTAATTACATTAGTTTTTTAAAAAAGGACAAAACATAGCTAAATGAGATGACTTTACAACATCTTCCCCAAAGCTTGCCTGAAACATTAAAACACAAAACAGAGAGGCCAGCACTGTGGCACAGTGTGTAAAGCTGCTGCCTCCAATGCTAGCATTACATATGGGTGCTAATTTGTGTCCTGGACACTCCATTTCCAACCCAGCTCCCTGCTAATGCACCTGGGAAACGCAGAAAGAGGGTCCAAGTGCCTGGGCCCCTGCCACCTACATGGGAGATGTGGAAAATGCTCCTGGCTTCCGCCCAGTCCAGCACCAGCCAGTGTTGCAGCCATCTGGGGAGTGAACCAGTGGATGGAAGATCTCTGTCTCTCCCTCCCTCTCTGTAACTCTGACTTTCAAATAAATAACTAAATATTAAAAAGAAACAAAACAGAACTTTTTAAATCAAAATACTCACTCCTGTGAAGAACTGTTTGCGGCTCTTCATATTTATTCTGTTTTAATTTAGTTATTTTTGAATGAGTAATACATCAAAGACAGGGCTCACAGTGGAAAAGTCACTCGCCTACTTGGATCCCCAGCCACCCACTCCCCTTCCCATTATGGATGCTGACATTCAAGGGTTCAAATTAGGGCTTCTCAATTTCACGATGGTGACAAAGCAACATGCATTCATACGTACTTGGACATTTGAGTCTGATGTCTTCTCCAACTAGTGATGAAGAAGTGCAATGCTCACGCGATGCTGGGCAGCAACAGCGAGCAGCAGCCCCTAGCCAGCCATGCCATCACGAGAAGCAGCAGACCCTACCACGCAGCATACGGCACTGCCTGCATTTTTAAACATTTTGTTTTGTTTTCACATCATATCAAGTCTATGTGTGTGCGTGAGATGTTCAATACTTTATGATAAAAACGGGTTTTGTGTTAAGATGATTTTGCCCAATGGCTAGCTAATGTAAGTGTTCAGAACAGATTTAAAAGGGGGCAAGGCTAAGCTATGATGTCCAATAGGTTAGGTATAGTAAATGCATTTTTATTTTTAAAAGATTTTTATTTGGGGCTGGCACTGTGGCTCACTTGGTTAATCCTCCACCTGCGGCACCAGCATCCCATATGGACACCAGGTTCTAGTCCCGGTTGCTCTTCTTCCAGTCCAGCTCTCCGCTGTGGCCCGGGAAGGCAGTGGAGGATGGCCCAAGTACTTGGGCCCCTGTACCCACATGGGAGACCAGGAAGAGGCACCTGGCTCCTGGCTTTGGATCGGCATAGCGCCAGCCAGGGCGGCCATTTGGGGAGTGAAACAACGGAAGGAAGATCTTTCTCTCTGTCTCTCTCTCTCTCTCTCTCTCTCACTGTCTATAACTCTACCTGTCAAATTAAAAAAAAAAGATTTTTATTTATTCATTTGACAGGCAGAGTTACAGAGAGGGAGATATAGACACAGAGACAGAGACAGAAATAGAGACAGAGAGAGAGAGGGACAGGGAGGGAAAGAGAGAGAGAGAGAGGGATAGATAATGAAAATCTTCCATCTGATGCTCCATTCCCCAAATGGCTGCAATGGCTAGAGCTGAGCTGATTCAAAGCCAGGAGCCAGGAGCTTCTTCCAGGTCTCCCACATGAGTACAGAGGCTCAAACACTTGGGCCATCCTCTACTGCTTTCCCAGGCCATAGAAGAGAACTGAATTGGAAATGGAGCAGTTGGGACTCGAACTGGTGCCCATATAGGATGCAGGCACTGCAGGCAGCAGCTTTACCTGGTTCGCCACAGCGCCGACCTCTAACTGCATTTTTTAAGATTTATTTATTTACTTGAAAGCCAGAGTTACAGAGAGAGAGACAGAGAGAGAGACAGAGAGATCTGCCATCCACTAGTTCACTCTCCAGATGGCAGCTACTGCCAGGGCTGGACCAGGCCAAAGTCAGGAGCCATCTTTTGATGCTTTCCCAGAACATTAACAGAGAGCTGAATTGGAAGTGGACTAACCAGGACACAAACCAGTGCCCATATGGGATGCCAGCATCACAGACTGCATCTTTACCCACTTTAGCCACAATGCCAGGCTCTAAAATGCATTTTTGACTTTGGATATCTCAACATACAATAGGTTTACTGGGATACAACCTCAACATAGGTTGAGGTGCACCTGTAGTTCCTTATAATTTCTTCCCTCTCACAAATTTAAATACTCTTTAAACTCTATTTTGGAATAATTTTCTTTCTGTTTATTCCTTCCCACTGTGCCCTTCTTTTTTATTTCTTGTAACAACCACCAGGGTGTTTGCTCTGCACAGGCCTCTGCTCATACAAGGTTTAGCTTCTCTAGCTAGCTGGTGTCTCGCAGTGTCGTAATCCTCCATGGCACAGTCAGTGCCCCATTAACAGGATTAGGACCTGAGAGGAGCAGTACTCCTCAGGAAATGACAAGAAGGGAGAGAAACTATTTTTTGCAAATATCCTTGAAAAAAAATCAGGTTTAAAACAAGTGGGAAAATATAATATAGCTGCCACCAAGATGAAGTTTAACAGGGAGAGCTGACAAGGCAATATCACCTTGATGCAAGCATCAGCTGACTTTTATCTGGACATCAGCCTTGATTGATCTTTATCTTCTGCAGCCAAATTACCCAGAGCAGTACTTACCAAGAACACACTTTTGAATGTATTTGAGAATGAGACAGAGAAGCTAGAGTGTTAGGAGGACTAGGATGGAAGACAAGGAAGACACCACACACAACTGGGGTGGCCTTCCAACAAGTCCTCACTGTGAGAATACACAAAAAGGAAGCTCACACGCACCTTTCAATCGTACCACATCCATTCTTTTTCCTTCCCAAATCCAGCTAAGGTTATGGGGTATTTTTAAAAAAGACCGAAGTTCTAGTCCTGGTTTGTTATGACCTCAGTTTACCCTTCCCCTAATCAACTGTGCAGTTTCCTCATCTATAAAAGGAAAGGGCTTTGCTTTGATGAGCTCTAAAGGCTCTTCTAATCTTCATCCTTCTCTAGGTCTAAGGTGCCATTTCTCTGCAAATATTGAATTATATGAGTGTGCTTCAAAAAGTTTAAGAAAAATGCATATGATGTAAAAACTCTGCATGGATTTCAAAGTTATTTTGCACAAAATGAACTTATCTTTTAATTCCATTTTCCATTAACTTTTTGAAATATCCTTCTATGCCTGCTATGTGAGTATTAAATTCATTTGATTTCTCAAATTTATTTGCCTTGAAACAGCAGATGGTATGTAGGTGTGTTTTTAAATTTTCATCAGAGATGTTAATGCCATGGACAGCTCTCACTTTGGAGATGCCCAGAATCCATTTCCCCCTCTTCACAGAACCCTGGTTTCATTTGGGAGAAGTATCATGTACAATTTAGGTGCATAAATCCAAGTTTAGGGATGGGCATTTTGCCTAGCAGTTGACACTGAGCTGGTGAAGATGCCCATAGCTCATACTAAAGTACCTGGGCTCATTACCCAGCCTCATTCCAACCCATCTTCCTGCTAATACAGACCCTCAGAGGCAGTGGTCATGGCTCAAGTAGCTGGGTCCCTGCCACCCACATCATAGACCTGGGATGGAGTTTCAAGCTCCCGGCTTTGGCCTGGCCGTTGTGGGCATTTAGGGAATAAACCAGCAAATGTGATATCTCTAATTAATTAGCTATTTTTAAAATTTAAAAAATCCAAGTGTTTGCCTCCTCCAACTACAAAAGCTTAACAGGAACCTAGAGGTTCCTTCTGCTACTATGTCCTCTCACAAATAAATCCGTAGGATGGACATGTGACCTACCACACGTTCTCCCCTGGGGCGTCTCTAGAAGAGCAACACAAGAACAAAAGAAAGAGAGAGGCTTCCTTTACTCTACAAGTGGTGCCCAGGCAAGACTGTCGAGTAATTCTTGCCTCAAGACCTTCTGTTCTTCAGGTTTCCCTTCAATCCCTACAAACCAACCCGCATCATTTTAGTAAATTCCCTTTCCTATTAAGTTAGTGGCTTGCTGACTAACAAGGCACTCCAAAACCTAATGGGCTAAGGTAACAATCACTGATTCCCTCATACTTCTGTCGACTGGCAAGTTGGGCAGGGCTCAGCCAGCACAGTGTGTCCCCAATTCAACCTAAGAACTCTGCTTCACAATGTGACATGAAACACAGTAGACTGTTGAAGCCTCAGCAGCTGGGACATTCCCCTGTTTATACCCCTGTTAATACCACATATTAGTGGTATTAATTGAAAAGTATGTGGGTGTCATGGTAGTGGGACTATAATAGGAAAATAATTTAAGTGAAAGTACCTTGGTTCAAGTCTCACTGATGACTTGGATGTCTAATTTTGAACTTATAAAATCTCTATGACTGAAGTTAAGCAAATCAAAATGGCAATGATAATATCTGCTCTGAGTTGAAGAATATTTGTGAATATAAAATACAGTGACTATGAACTTTAAGCAATACTCACTGCACTGCAGTGCAAGACCATCAAATGATCTCTCAAGTTCAAAATGTGCAAAACTATCCTAATCATCAATAATAAATATTACCATTGTTCCTCATATTTTTTATGATTTCAAAAGCCATTTATTTAAAGTAATACCTCGGGGTCGGCACTGTGATGCACTAGGTTAATCCTCCGCCTGCAGTGCCGGCGTCCCATTTGGTGCTGGTTCTAGTCCTGGTTGCTCTGCTTCCAGTCCAGCTCTCTTCTGTGGCCTGGGAGGGCAGCGGAGGATGGCTCAAGTGCTTGCGCCCCTGCATCCACACAGGAGACCCAGACGAAGCTCATGGCTCCTGGCTTCAGATCAGTGCAGCTCCAGCCATTGCGGCCTTTTGGGGAGTGAACCAACAGAAGGAAGACCTTTCTCTCTGTCTATCTCTCTCACTGTCTGTAACTCTACCTGTCAAATAAATAAATAAAAATCTTTTAAAAAAATAAAGTAATACATCTACAGACTAAACAATTCTTAAGCCGTGTTTCAGATCTAACCAACTCCACAAAATACTCTGAGGACAGCTGTATCCACATATTTCAACTACATGATTATACTTCTTTTCTCATTTTTCCTTCTCTTTTATCTCCTGAATAACCTCTTTCAGATATGGTTCAAGGTAGAATTTATGTTCCTCATATTTTGTCCACTGCTCTTTAGGCAAGATCTGATGCCTCATGGTCAAGACCAGTGCTCTCTTAATGCAAAACATCCTGTCATTATGAAGGTTCTCACAAAACCTTTCGGGTTTTTTTTTTTTTACATCTTCATCCTCATATACCACATCAAGTCACACAAACCCAGCAGGCCTGCTCATCATTTTGACCCAAGAGCAAAGTGTTTGTTTCTTAGCCTTTGAAAATTTTGTGAAGTCATTAAAAAGTTTCTCACCTGAAGTTTGTTTGCATACTCATTTAAAGTATAAGAAACATTGAGAATAAAGTGCTTGATTTATTTAACTCACCTAGGGGCAAGACTTGTGGTGCTGTGGGTTAAGCCACTACCTGCAACACCAACATCCTGTATCCTGGTTCAAGTCCCAGCTGCTCCACTTTCAATGCAACTCCCTGTTAATATGTCTGGGAAAGCAGTGGAAAATGTCCCAAACACTTGGGCCCCCTGTACCCACATGGGAGACCAAGATGAAGTTCCAGGCTCCTGACTTCAGCCTGGCCCAGCCCTGGCCGTTGCAGCTATTTGCGGAATGAATCAATGAATGCAAGATCTCTCTCTCTCTCTCTCTCTCTAACTGTGTCTTTCCAATAAATGAATAAATCTTTAAAAACAGTGAACAGTAATTACCTTCATGACATCACCACATCAAGCAAACATCTTTTCTATGCCTTGGCAAACTGACATACTAAACTTATCTTTTCGTTTCCCATGAACTTTTTGAAGCATCTTCATATGTATTCTTTGTTCCAACCACTTTCCTCATTTATGTCAACAAATTTTCCCTAAGTTCTTTTAACTTCATGTCTCTCAAAAGGCACTGATGTTACCATTCCCATGATTATCTATTTCTTCTATACCTCCATTTATGCTCCTTGTGAACTTTATTTCCAGTGCTATCACACTGTCTACTCACTCTCCCCCTCACTCTGTCTCTCTCACCAATTCCCTCTTTAAATTTTCCATATTGTAAAATGTCACACAGATTTACTGCTGGAAAGACAAGAAGGTAACACAACTATGCACTTTGCTGTCTGAACTGAATAACAGATATGCAGTGACCAATCACTGAAAAACTTTAGAAGTGACATGATAGATCCTTATGTAGTGACTTGTGGACTGAAGAACTAGCAGTAAAATTTGTATATGTAATTTCTACAGTCATGTGGTAATTGAAATTTTTTTAAAATTTTTATTTGAAAGAGAGAGTTACTGACAGAAAGAAAGAGATACAGAGAGAAAGATCTTCCATCTGCTGGTTCACTCCCCAAATAGCTGCAACAGCCAGAGCTGGGCTGCACAGAAACCAGGAGCCAAGAGCTTCTTCTGGGTCTCCCACACAGGTGCAGGGACCCAAGCACTTTCACCATCTTCTACTGCTTTTCTAGGCCACAGCAGAGAGCTGTATCTAAAGAAGAACAGCCGGGACATGAACCAACACTCGTATGGGATGCTGGTGCCATAGGCGAAGGCTTAACTTATTAGCACGCCACAGCATCAGTCTCAGTAATTGAATTTTAATTTCAATTTCTGAAACATTTTGAAGTGCGTATTATTGGAGGACTGGTACTATTTAACCATGAACCATGATAACTAAAATTTGGACATACCAGGAATATGCAAAGCAAGGGCTACTTGTGTCAACATTATATAAAGTTTTTTAAGATTATTTATATTAAAAATAAAAAAAAGATTACTTATATTGAAAGTCAGAGAGAGAGAGAGAGAGAGAGAGATCTTCCATCCACTGTTCTCTCCCCAGAGAGCTGCAACAGCCAGTGCTGGGTCAGCTGAAGCCAGGAGCCAGGAGCTTCATCCAGGTCTCATCCGTGGGTAGCAGGGTCCTAAATAACTGGGCCATCTGCTGCTGCTCCTTCCCAGGCCATTTTCAGGCAGCTGGATTGGAAGCGGAGCAGCTGGGACACCAACCAGCACCCATATGGAATGCCAGCATCGCAGGTGGCAGCTTTACCCACAATACCACAATGCTGGCCCTGCATTTTACTAAGTTTAATGTTGCCACAAAGAGGCAATGACTAGATCTCACACTTAGTGTATAAGGAGTTCAATTTTTTTTTTTTTTTTGACAGGCAGAGTGGACAGTGAGAGAGAGAGACAGAGAGAAAGGTCTTCCTTTGCCGTTGGTTCACCCTCCAATGGCCGCCGCAGCCGGCGCGCTGCAGCCGGCGCACCGCGCTGATCCGATGGCAGGAGCCAGGAGCCAGGTGCTTTTCCTGGTCTCCCATGGGGTGCAGGGCCCAAGCACCTGGGCCATCCTCCACTGCACTCCCTGGCCACAGCAAAGAGCTGGCCTGGAAGAGGGGCAACTGGGACAGAATCCGGTGCCCCAACCGGGACTAGAACCCGGTGTGCCGGCGCCGCTAGGCAGAGGATTAGCCTAGTGAGCCGCGGCACCGGCCAGGAGTTCAATTTAACTCAGACATCTATGGGACCCCAAGTGTCGCTCCCCCTCTTCGCAGAGGAACGACACAGGACCCTGCGCTGTTCTTTTGTCTGCTCGGCCCTTCCCGGGTTTGCTGCTGGTTCTTCCCGGGTTGACTGCCGATCCCTCCACCTCCGTGGAGGGGCGGCTCCCCCTGCCACTTTCCCCACTTCCACGGGGGAGCAGCACACCGCCGGCCGGCTCTCTCGGGGGCTGCTCAGATGTTATCCGGATGTTCCCTGGTGCATGTTGTCTCTCTCCTCCTTTATAGTCCTCTTCTACCAATCCCAACTCTGCTACCCACACGCCGAGCACGCTGCTCTCCTCCAATCAGGAGCAGGATCAGCTCCTGCAGCTCATCAGTCAAGTTGGCGAGAGGCAGCTGCGTAGTTGTTTACTCCCTTTCAGCGCCATATTGTGGGAGAGCAGATGCATAGAATAAGTCTTAATTCCAGTAACAGTCTAGTCCGAGTTGCTCCCCACACCCAAGTTTTCAGTTTTCATCTTTGTCTCAAGAAGATCTGGCAAAATGTTAACTGTAGGCAGCCAAGAGGGGAGAAGGAAGGACTGGATAATAGATATGCCTTAATCCCTGCATATAGACCCAGAAGAAAATTTATGGAGAGGAAAATAGCATAGCCAAACTCAGAGTTCATCAAAAAGTGAGGAAAGAGATGACCCAAATTAAGCAAATTTTATTATTCTTTGTTTGAGGCCTGAAGGAAAGTTTTAACACAGTTTTCCATGAATGTGGCTGGTAGTCTGTGAATATCCATTTTCCCTTTCTTAGTTGCAGAGTCATAATTTTTGGCTGGTTATACAACTACCTAGAACAAAAGGCCATATTTCTCCAGCCTTTCTTGTAGCGAGCTGCATCCAATGATCACATACTTTCAGGATATGAATGAAAGCATTAAAGAGATTTGCCAGAGAACTCCTTAAAAGAAGCTGAATTGCATGTGAGGAGCAACCCTTTGTTCTTTCTACTGTCCGGAGGACAGATATTAGAAACAGCCATCTTGAGCTATCAGGCATTGCTGGGAGTGGAAGCCAGACTTTGGGATGGTAGAACATAAAGGTAGAAGGAACTGAGTTCTTCGTGGCTTTATAGGAACATCACGTAAGCTCTGGGCTCTTTATCTCAATGAAGCCACTCTTCTTATAGTCTGCTCACATCTGGCCCAGTTCCTAACTGATCAAATGAATACTCTTGTCTAGCTCATGGGGTATTTCAGTGCCCCAAGTGACACTGAATGACTCTCGCCTTCACTTTTATATCCTTCTACACAAGTTCTATACAACAGAAGTCCAAAGGAGGCAAAAACACACAAGCAAAGCAATATTTTTCACATAATATTGGATACTGGGGGAGCAATGGTTGTTTTTAAAGTTCTAATACAGACTCCAATAATCAAATCTCTGACCTGGCTTAAGAACTGTTTGAGGAGGGGCTGGCACTGTGGCATAGAGGGTGAAGCCGTTGCTTGCAGTGCTGACATCCCATATGGGCACCAGTTCAAGTCCTGGCTGCTGCACTTCCCATCCAGCTCTTTGTTATGGCCTGGGAAAGCAGTAAAAGGTGGCCCAAGTCCTTGAGCCCCTGCATCCACGTGGGAGACCCAGAAGAAGCTTCTGGCTTCAGATTAGCTCAACTCTGGCCATTACGGCCATTTGGAGACTGAACCAAGCAGATGGAAGATTCTCTCCCTCTCACTCTCACTCTCTACCTCTGCTTCTCTATAGCTCTGATTTCAAATAAATAAATAAATCTTAAAAAAAAAGAACTGTTTTAGGAGAAGAAAAAAAAGCTGAGAGGGAGAGAGTACCAGTTCACAATAAACTCTTAGAAGTACAGAAAATAGAAATCCTAAAATGTGTTTCAGTGTAAGGCTGCATTCATGTAAGTGTCTAAAGGGTAAAAAAGGAAGTGATGGCTTAGGGCTGATCCCACATTAAAAGAGACAAGTGACAGACAGAAGGGAACTGAGGGGAAGGCAACCAAACTGGTCTAGATATATTCATTCAGTGAAGGATGTGAGAAGGAACTGGGGTTTTACTGCGGGCAGCAAAGAAGATAGATATGGGACCAGCAATTCAAACACTCGAGTATCATCTTGTAAAAGAGGGACTCACTTTAATCTGCCTAGTTCCAAGCACAATTAGGGCCAGTTACCAAAGTAAACATAAAGCAAATTTCAACTAATAAAAGGGAAAACCTTTTGAGAATTAGAACTTTACAAAATTGGAATGCAGTAGTTCTTAAGGTAGT